CTTTAATTGCTTGGCGGCCCCCAAAGGGGACTCATTAAGATTGCCAGCCCGCAGCTGGAGAAACACAAATCTGGCGACACAACTATCAGAGTTCCTTTTTCCCTCCCCCTCCACCCCCTTTTGACCCCCAGCGAAGTTACTCATAAGTTAGATAGATGCAGCAAGCTGAGTCCTCGGGCTCGTGTTTTATGTGCACTCGAGGCGGCTATAATCCAAAGTGCTCCCCGGTGAAAAGTTTTCTGGTTTATGCCAGAATGTGTGTCGATGGTTGCTGCTACTTTGCTGGCTTTTCCCATAAACACCAGAGTCGGCGGATGCGGGCAGGATTGGGAGGAGGAGGATGCCCTCACAGGTGCGGATGAGCTTCAGATGGCCACGAGTCAAGTGGCTCTCCGTCTTCCTTTGGCCACAAGCGCTCGGCGTTTTAATTACGGCCGCCGCCGCCATTTTGTCCTTGCAAACAACCATGACTTTTTATTGGACATGTAATTACTGCGTGCTTTTTCGGCTCGTCGGCCCACGCATATTTTTTATAATTACATGAAAAATGAAGACCAGCATCCGATGCGAGTTCCCCAAGCATCCTGAGTGTCCTGATGCCACGCTAATGATGCACGCGCCACGATGATTGCGCGGATTAAGACCTCCTGACCTTCAGCGAGACGCAAAGTTGAAAATGCTTTGAACCAGAAAAAAGTGGAGCCAAAGAGGCTACTCAAAAGTAAAATACAACATATATAATTAACATACTTATGCAAATTTTATTCTTAAAAAAGAAACTAAAATATGTTAAGCGTTAGTGAGCAAAGTATGCTATGCATTAATATCTCGCTCAACTAAAATGTAAGCAAAACTTCCAATGCAAAAATGTTTAATAACTTCACTCGACCGTGAAGTGCATCGAACGACTTTTATTTTTTGCGCAAGTAACGTTTTGAGAATAATTAAATTTCAGTTTTTCCCTACGCAAGTTAATCGATACTGAAGCAAAAAAAAAAGCGTGCTACTAACTAAATCCAATCATTTTTTCATGTTCTCCCTTTATCTCCCCTTATCTTACCCTAGATTTTGCACCATAAAAGGCAAAATCCATGAAATATTAACTAAGGGGTCAAAGTGCCAGGACGAGTACACCATATGGGACAGTCTGGACCCAATCCCCATACCCCCAGCTCCCCTGCAATCCTGTCATGCTTCAGGTGACTACGTCATTGGCCGACCAGGGCTGCAGCATACAAAGTGAAACATGGCACATGGCAGACATCAGCACAATGGGAGGGCTTAGCCAATTTTAAGGGCATTAAAATGGAAAAGTTTCGCAAATCGTTTTTTGTGGGAAGACATACGCATGTTCGCATGCCTTTATTGTGCCTTTGGCTACGGCATAGCTTGGCCAAATTAGCACTATTCTTTTAATTATTTCCCAGCATTCGCACACAGTTGCCCAAGGACAGAAATTGGTTTTTGGCCAGGTTAAATTGGGTCTTTGAGGCCAGAAACATCGAAAGGGCATGTTTGTTTAGTTGGCTTTTTGTGTTAACCTGTTGTCATGGTGCATGTGTGGTTTAATTTTTGTTGGCTCCATATACTGTTTTTGGGAACAGTAGTTTTCTTTTAATACGATTTTTGGACTATGCATACATTTGATTTTAGCGATATTAATATTATTACTTACAATTTCAGGAGTAAGGGTTGGAAATGCAGTGCAATTTCGTTCCTTGTTTGTTATACTTTAATGACAAACCCATTACCTGAATGTTGCCACTCTTAATGGCATTGGAGTTGCTGACGAGCTTTTCCCAATGCGGCTGCTCATTTTGCAGTGGCCTAAGCCAATTCCGCAATTTACATAAGTGTTGGCCACGGTGGACGTGTGTGCTGGCCATTTCTGTCTGCCACCGGTCGAGAGAATGCCAATTTCAGTAATTTTTGCGTCAGCCGCCAGCCTAATTTGTGGGCATTACTATTCCGCTGGCGTTTCAGCTGGAGCCGGCTTAAAATATGAACTCCCAGTCCCGTCGGGTCCATAATCGGGTGAGGGATTTAAGGGGAATGTGTGTATTCGAGACACTATCCATGGAAACGGGCAATTCTCGTTGAGGAAAAACAAGAAAACAATTTGAGTGTTATTGCACGTTCCACTCTTTTTGCCTCGTTTGTATGTGTGTGTGTGTGTGTGTGTTTGCCCGACTGTCGTCAAGTGCTCTAAATGGCCAGATCACACTTCGGTATGGGGATAGGCGTTTTTCCCTGGTAAGCCAAACAAAGCGAGGACACGGCAAAAACCCAGTAAATTAATCGGCTTTGGGGGATAGTTTGTGGGCGCATATCGCACTCTTTGCAACCAGCATTGGTTTTTCGGTTTTCTAGAAGGACTAAAAAATACCCAATGCACCACAAAAATACATCTTCGTTTTTGTTTGACTAAGCAAAATCCTTTGAGGGAAATCAAAACCGATTTGATTGCCAGCTAAATCGGTTTTAATTGAAAATGCAAAGTCTGCCTTGAGCAACCCGTTACTTCAATGATTCTTTTTTTTTCTTAACCCCCTTGGGATCTTCCAACTTGACACACCAAACAAAACGAAAACAAGCTAAAGAAACCAAAAAAAAAAGTATTACCTCCCTGCAGTGGATTTAAAATTTACTATTTTGTGGGAGTGAAATTTTCAATTTGCATTTTAACCAAAATCCGCTTGGAACCTTTTTCGTGGACAGGCAAATGGGCCTGGGGTGGACCTTATCAACACAACCAAATCACACGCATTCGTTCGAAATGATTTCGTGGGTAAAATTTATGCGGTTGCCCTGTGGATTCCCTCTTTTTCACTTTTGCCTCCACTTTTTTCCCTGGCTTTTCTTTTTGCTTTTTTTTTTGGTGTGTGCAACCAGACACGTAGAATATCTGGGCAGCTGAAAGGTAACGAGAGTGGCTGAAATTTCTTGCTCTACCTAAATCAAGGCTCTGACAAGCACGTGAAATGAAATAATTTAAAAATGCAAATTCTATTTTATCAAACCACTGATATCTTAGCCCTTGAAAACAGTACCAAATCCCTGGCTTCTCATTCCATCCCACATTTTGGGAAGCATTGAACCGGCTGGGATTGGTTGGAAGTTTACCGCAAATGAGTTGGCTTTCCCATCACGAATATTTCCGATTTTATAGAATACGATATCAAAGAAATGAGCTGCCTTTTGTGATTGTGATACTATTTACAAACCGAATTTCGAATTAACGTTATGAAAGCCAAAATGTGTAATTTATTTTCATGTAGCAGCATATTTCAGAGTTAGTTTGGATAAACAAAGTCATTTAAAGAGTTGCTTACGTCGAAATGTTATGTTAAAAAAAAATGTTATCATAGCAAAAACTAAAGCTAACCAAAATATTGAAATCAAACAAATTCGCATGCAGACGGAAATGTTTATTTTCTTGTTCGCTGTGGTGCGGTCTGCTAAAAACTTTTCTTTTCAATGACTTCGACTGCCAAGTTCATGCTTCACATCATCCTTCTGCTGTCCGCCTCCAAATTTAGTGTATGAGTGTCCTGGGGCAACATGTCCTTCCCAGAGTGTTGGGGCAGAAAGTTGCTCAAAGTAACTTTTTGAGTGGCAGTGTGTTGAGCTAATCAATGGTGTGTTCGTTGCCTAGTCGGAAAAATGTTTCTTCATTTTTCCTGCGAATTTATTGCCTAAAGTTATTAGCTTTCTAATCTTTTTAATACAGTTTTACTCTATTGATGGGCCCTTATATCACTTGCCCAGAGTCAAATAGATTTTGTGTTCGGCCATCAATTGTGTAAATATTTTCCCGATAGATCTGATGTGTGACATTTTATTTGTGGGAAACAATACAGGCTAATGCGGGCAAAAAATAGTAAATATGCTCGTGTATGTGCTAGAAAACTAAAACAGTAGTTTGTAGGCAATTAATTTGATTAACTAAACGAGGTGCCAGGAGGCAGAAGTTGGTGTGTTGGGCCTCAGTTTACTCCTGCCGCGGACGTTTGTTTCACGTGTATATGAAATGATTATGAGGCTAAAGTTACCATTTATTTTTTATGCTTAATTTTCCTCTAGGGCACAAAGTCGAAAACATAAAAAGGAAAAGTTTAAAAGGGAAACAGAAACCGGCAATGGTAAAAGGAAAAGGCAGCCAAAGCTACAAAAAACAAACAACTTTTAGCAGAAAAAAAGTGTGGGAAAAAATAAGTGGAAAGGAAACAGAGAACAAAAATTAAATGAAAGCCACCACGGGCGGTGACATTAAGCGGCAAATTTTTATGATTTTAATTAGCATAAAAGCGTAATTGAAAATTAACTGAAACGAAATACATGTGCCTCTGAAATTGAGAACGGGAATGTGTGTGTCGGACCCCTATACTCATTTCAAACAAAAAGGGAGGGACATTTTATTTGTTTTGCTTTAATTTAAATTCAAAATTTTCCACCTTGCATAAGCCGATTGCAATAATTTTCCTTGATTCGCCGACGCTTTGATGTGCGCCACAAACATTTATTAAACGTGTTTATTTAGGACTTTTTCGCTTGTCGAGCGAGAATTTAAATGTTGCTGATAAGAATATTATAATTTAAAGCAGCAAAGGGGAAAGGTATTGATTCGAGGACGCCGTCCAAAAAAAGGTGATAATATTTGGGTGCAAGGACCTAATAACTTTTTTAGTTTTTCCTAAAAGTTTTAGCTTACCAACTTTTGGGTCACATTTCTAAAAACTTTGGAAGTCTTTTTACAATTGGACAAATTGGAAAAATACTTGGTGATTCTTGCAATCCAATTCTACTTTTCTATGTTCCTGGAAAAGCCTTTAAATACGTACCCTAAAAACGAAATTTTAAGCTGCCTAAAACATTAATTCCATTTCTCCCTCTTAGCAAATGACCAACTTTAATTAGAACCCCCCGTAATTAGCCGTCCCTATTCCCAAACAAGCCCTAACTAAACGTACTCTGCTTTTTTTTTTTTGGCTCTCCCACAGAAGTTGTCACCTGCAGCAATCCGGAACCTCGGGCGAATCCGGTGAAACTGACACGGACTCCGAGAGCTGCTGAGGGACAGCTTACGACGGCCACAAGATCCACTTTACCAGATAGGGCAATGACAACACAAAACGATCTAATTACGACAGCCAGCAACTTGACGACAGCAAAAAAGCCAGCCGCAGCAGCAGCAGCGAAAGCAGCACAAGCAGCTGAATCAGAATCAGAATTACTAGGAACGGAGCCGACTAGCTCGTGGAGCTCCACGGCCGTAGCCCCGAGCACGTCATCAGCAGATGTGGCAGCGGCAGGAACGATAGCAGCCAGCCAGTCAGCACAAATTGGGCTAACTACTCAGGCCACAACAGAGCAAACAGAGGCACAGACAGCAGCAGCAGCAGAAGCACAAGCCTCAGTGACAGCAAAAGCAGCAGCAACACAATCCGCAGCAACAACAACAACACAAGCTGCACTAACAACAAAAGCAGCAGCAGCAGTTGCATCAAGTGAAACCGCAGCAGAAGCGGCGCTCATATCAACAATTTATCCAGCATCAACGGAAACGGATGTGCACAACTCCATTGAGCGACTGCCAGAGCGAAGTGGAAAGATGGCGACGGCGATGCATCCGGGTGTCGCTGATTCATTGACCAAGGGCTTTTCCATACCGACCTTCCTGCCTCCGTTTCCCGTTTTTGCGGCAGCGGATTTGCCCGCTTACCGTGCTGCTGCCGATGCCGCCGAGGCGGCCAAGTTAGCGGCAGAGGCGGCGGCGGCGGAGGCTGCCAGGAAAACAGCGGCAGCCGCATCCTCCGAAGCGGTGACAATGTCGCCGGAGGAGCAGCGTCGGCAGAACTTTAATGAGCAGCACTCCTACTTGGCCGCCCACCGCGAGGCGGCCGAGGGGGCGGGGACGGCGCTGCGACGCAACCTCACGATGCCCGTGCTAAACATCACCGCCCAGATGGGGAACCACGCCTACATGCCGTGCCAGGTGAGTGAAGGGTGCACAGGAAACAAAAACCGTTAGCCCAAATAAATATGCTAGGAAAAATATCAGAAAGGGATTTACATTAAGCCCATATAAGTATGCTAGTAAAAATGTTTTGGAAATTTAGCAATGGATTTTTTAATCTTTAATTGTTTTCAAAATGGTTAAATATAAAGCATGTTTTAATTCATTTTTAAATTCTAAAAATAATTTAAATGAAGTTTTTTAAATAATGATTGTTTAGTGAAAATAATTCATAATTAGTTTCTAAAGTATGGTTGCCAAGTGTTTCCAAGAATAACAGCGTTATTTTCTGAGTGCATTTGTTTGTTGTTCCTGACACACAATCCGCTGCGTCAACTTGTTTGTGTGGCGCGGAGCTTCGTGTGATATAAGTCGGGTAATCCTTAAAGGTTCGCTCTGGGAAAAGGTTTTTAATAGGAGATTACATTTAATTGCGAATATTATATTTGAATTAAATGTCACGACTCATAAGTAGCTGACAGCTGGTTAAGCAGCTTAAAGAGTTATTCTAATTGAATATAATAAATAGGTAGAAAACCTTCATGAATATTTTAAAGTTTGTAAGGCGTGGAAATGTCCACATCCAAACATTTACCGGAACCTTCTTCGTAGGTATGTCTGTTGAGATAATACCTACCATAATTGGTTTTCGTTCTAAGCCCAAGGAAGACCTTTGCCAATTATTTTACAAAACTTGTTTACCCTTCCGCAGAGCTTTACCACTAATTCCAGAAAAATTAGGTTAACCAAAGGACTTTCAACCAATTCAAAAATGTGAACTCCCCCAGCTATCTTTAACGGATTAGCTAGACCTTAAGGCCACACACGTCACCAGGGATTTAATTTCCAGCCCTAAGACTTTAACCACTCAAGGCAAACGACCCTGACTCACTTACAAATTCCTCGAAACTTAAACCAAAGCGAAGACAAGCCAGCGACAGACTGACTGACTCGGCGCCCATCCTCCCACTGCTTCAGGATTCCTTTTTAATTTCAACGGACCGGAGATAAAACTAGCATTTACATATTGCACACAGACACGCCTCCACACATCCGCAGATACAGATACAGATACAGATACAGATACACGGACGACGCAGATTCAGATACAGCTAGATAGAGAAAAGCGAAACACTTATTTGCATGCATACATATTGCACAGTGTATTTTACATAAGGCTACAACAGACATCAAATTTACATGCGTTCGTAGGTGTTTCTTTCCTTTTTCACACATGTGTGTGTGCATAAGGATATCTGCTGAACGGACTTAAACAAAGCCCAAAGAACAGGTCCTGCAAAGAGGGAGAGCAAAAAGTATATATTTATAAATTGTGCGGAATTGTAAACGGCAAATAGAAGCCTGAGCCCAGGCGCTTGTTTACGTCATAAAAAATAAACGTAAACAGAATGAATTGTTGATATGCAAATGAAATTATGCTGATCTGTGCCGGACCACAGGCGAAAGAAAATAAGGAACAGGGCTAAAACAGGAGCAGGAACTAAGGACAAAGCGAAGCGCCAACTGTGAGAATATTTTAGCAAAAGATGCGCATCCCCATCCCCGGATTCCGTCTTTGAATCCGACCTCATTTCCATTTCCGGACCTCGACATTTACTCGGATCTCAGATTTAACGTCCGCTGATTCGCTTGAGCCGTCAGATTTCTTTTTTTTCTTTTGCAACTTAACGCCGAAACGACAGGCAAACGTGGCCGGATTAGCTCGTCGGCCCGGGGTAATTATTCATGTATGGATTAGTTAACATTGAATGCAATCTGTGTAATGTGAAAGCTCATTAGCGGCAGATTGCCAAAGATTAACATAATAATAGTTATGTAAATGCTGGCGCTGCCTTGAGCTTTGATGCTTTAATAGTTGACAGATTTTGGGAGGGGGGAATAATTTTAAAGGACTTTTGATTGTTTATGCTTAGCTTCAGGAGAATAAATAACTTAAGTAAGCTATTACGAATATCGTTACCAACATCTTCCAAACAAGTTGTGCTGATTAAATTTGTTTTGTGAACAAATATTGACTTATTAAAAAGGGGCTAGCTGTTCATTTCTTTCTTAGTTAAAATAAACCCGATAAGCGTTATCTAAATTAAATATCCAATTTTCAGATACATCGACTGTCGGACAAACCTGTTTCGTGGGTGCGCATGCGCGATAATCACATTATCAGTGTAGACGAAACCACCTTTATAGCGGACGAGCGGTTCCAGTCGATTTTCCAGGAGGACCACGATTACACCTGGTCGCTGCAGATCAAATACGTTGAGCCAGGCGATGCTGGGTGGTACGAGTGTCAGATGGCAACGGAGCCCAAGTTGAGTGCCAAGGTGCACCTGCAGATAGTCAGTGAGTGCTTACAAATTATCTATAAAATCATGCGGATTATCACATTTAATTTAAGAATAGTTTCATATATTAATACAAAACAATATCCTATAAGTGTAGTATAAGTGATTGCATGTAATTGCATCTCTCGAATTCAAAATTAGCACTCGAAAACTTGTAAGATTTATTATAACGTATGCACAGACAAATTTTGTTAAAATTATATTAAACAGAATGCTATTTTTACTTTGTACACTATGGTAGGCAATGGTTAAATCATTTTACAAAACCCAACCAATTGATATGATGGGTAAAAGGGAATTTTAGTATTGTTCCCCTTCACGACATTTTCTAATGACAACTATTTTCTTTATTCCTTCCCAGAACCCAAGACTGAGCTGATTGGGGACCAGAGTCGCTTCGTGAAGGCGGGCAGCAAGGTGGCGCTGCACTGCATCGTCCGGGGCACCTTGGACCCGCCCAAGTACATAATCTGGTTCCGCGGCAAGAAGAAGATTAGCGAGAGCGACGAGCGGTCTGGCTGGTACACGCAGCTGGATCGCAATATATTCGGCACCGTGGGCGATAATCAGAACACGGTTAGTTGGGTGTTTACGAGTAGTGAGTGGGCGGGCGGGCGGTCTTAATCTGCTAGTCGAATGCCGCTGAACATAAACATTTATTGCAGATCGGCTCATTAATTATACCGGTCGTGCGGAAGGAGGATTCCGGCAATTATACGTGCCAGCCGTCGAACAGCGTCTCCGTGTCGGTGGACCTGCACGTGCTAAGCGGTAAGTTAAGAGCCTCAGGGGCCCAAGAGTCCTGCCATATCCTATCTACCTGAGTGTGTGCCAAAATGAATGATTCATATTAATCGCAACTGTCGCCGCCGCGACGAATTGCGATGGCCAACAGGTGAATATTCCGCATCGGCCATCATGTCAACAGCTCCGAGGACGACGGCCGGCGGAAGGAGCACGTTCCTGTCGACGCTCGCTCTCCTGGGAATCCTTGGACTCCTCTGGGCGGTGCAGGGACACACGATGCACACACCGCCATCCCAGACGTGACTCGCCTATTGAACGAACGCATGCCCTCCCGGCGTCGTGGCGTCCGACTTCCAATTATTTGTAAGCTTTTGCGCCATCTGCAGTTACGTAATTTAGGTTAGAGATTAATTAAAGGCGGCCTTGTAAATAGCGAGGAATGTGTAGGGAGGAGCAGCAGGATCCCGGCCGAAGCGGACACTGACGGTCCTGTAATTAGGTTAAACGTTACCATAACTCTCATGTCTGCGTGTCTCGTACTGAATATTCCCCCATACCGAATTCAATCTAATGTACAATTCAATTTAAAGAGACCCCCATTTCGAGTTGTGAAATCGAATCAATAATTAGATTATTGTCAGAGAAATATTATTAAAAGAAAATAATAAAACTGAATCATAAAAATCCATCGTAATTAAAAGGCATTCAATAAATCATGTGAAACTTTATTTAAATCTGTGTTCTCTCTGTGCTTTTGGTTTGCTTCATTCCGATGATGGTAAATCGTTTATGAATATTATCGGGCTTAACTAATTGATTGGCTGTATTAGTATTCTCTGGCGGGCCATTGATTAAAACGGAAAAGGTTTAATTCGTATATTTTTCAGTGCCATAAATCTGCTTTTAATGCCAAATGCGCATTTTCTTTATATGAGTTATTTCGTGGTGCTAACGAAGTTTAATTTGTGGATGCTTATTAAAAAATCGCTTTTTAAATATTTGTGTTTGCCCAGAGCAAACCAGTATTTTCGTAGTTGAAGTTAAAACGGAAATCGGATTGATCAGACTTAAAGCTTATTATTTGTGAATGGGAAATGTTTGCTTTTATTCGCAGCTCTTTTCATTTTTTAAATTATTTAAAGCCCCAAAAGAAAACCCAAAAAGTCATTAGATGCGCAGGATTTTGTCTACAGTTTCTGTTCGCTGTGAAAGTATTTGACAACATTAAGCTAAGTAAGTCAAACCGTAACCCATTTTCGGGGAAGATTTTCCCTCAATTGACGTGGCCTATAAAAAAAGGCAACCAGCAAACGAATTTTCTCAATGGGGATATGCATAAATAATTTAATATTTTATGGTAATGTGGCTCCGACTCCAATGATACTGCCGACCTTGCTTGGTACATCAAAGTGACGAAAGGAAAACAAAGATGAGCCAACACTTATGGCCTGGCCAAGGGGAAAGGGCCAAGCAGAGTGCATAAAAATAACACAAGCCATAAACTGGCGAATTCCAAGGGTCATAAAGCCTTTAAGGTAGCCAGTCTATTTTATTGCAGCGGAAATCACATCTCTGTCTTCCCCGAGAACGGGGAGAATAAAAAACACAGCGAAACGAGGGAAAACAAACAAAAAGTATGGAGTAAAAATAAGAACAACACGTAAAATTTGTCGTTGTCCTGTCAAGTAGGAAAATTCTCTCCGAGCAGCGAGTGGGATGGACGGAAGTGAAGCAATTTTCAAGAAACACAAAGAGCCGAGGGATGGAGGGGGCAGGAGGGGGGTTTGGGGTTTATGGGAATGGGTAGTCCGACGAAAGGCAGTAAATATTTTTCACTATGTTGCTGATGCTGATGACTGACTCGCCCGACGACAGCCGGAGTCCCGGGCGAAAAGGGGAGCCCCGCTGGCTTAAGTCCAACAACTCGGCAGGACCCGCGTCAAGGCAGGAAAAGTCAAACAAGATGAAGCCAGTTGGAAATGTCCTTGCTCGACGGCAAAATAAGATCCGAGAAACAACAAGAAAAACCAAAAATAAAACTTTAAGATAAGCTACACGAAGAAAGGGAGAGTGAAAGTTAAGTGAACACTTTCAAGTGACAGTTTCATCCAGCGTTTATATATATTCCTTTCTCTCTGCGCTAAATATATTCAATATCCGATAAAACATTGCCAGTCCGGGCTTGGATTTCGAAAGCAATTTTATTTGAATTTTCGCTTGAGCCGGCCTGCGAATGGCAATCAAATTACTGAACTCGTTCCACACTTCGAACCGGGACAACTTGATGGCCGTCAAAAAGGCAATGGGCAAAATATGATATTCTGCCATGGAACGTTTTAAAATTTGACCAAGATTTATGTGGGCTATCGAATAAGGGGTACAATTTATTACCGTTCATTAAGCATTAAAGACACTAAAGATATTTACAATGTTTTCAATTAGCGATGCTTTTGATTGAAAATATTCATCCCAGCTTAAAGGTATTAAAAATGCTGTTAAATGGTAATCCTTTTCAATTACTTTTAATTTGCCTTAAAGACGTACAATTCTCCCCCACATTTCTACACATTTTTTGTGTTTGTTTTTCAAAGGATAATTGAAGTCTGGTCCAACCCCCGCACAGTGGTCGGTCCCATAGGCCAAAAATCAAAAAATCAATTTTGGAATTTTAATTTCAAGTTTGGCGCATCTGTTTATCAATAAAACAAGGCTTTAAAAGCAAGTATTAGTTTTGTCTTGCTCCACATATTTGCGGAGAAATTGGGGTGCAAAGTGAGCGCACAAACCCAGCGATCAACTGAAAGCGTGCGCATGTCTTTTGAAAGCGTTAAGTTAATAATTAAAAAAAAATATAAAACAATCGTTTAATATCCGAAAGTGAAATGAATATTAAAGTTGAAGGTTTGTAGATTGTGTTTTTCTAATTTTTATTAATTTTACATGCTATATGTGACTGTGACAATAATTGTTTATCCACCTCAATTTTACAAGTTCTGCAGAACTAAACATCAATATTCTGCAAAGGTAAAAGTTGTGTTCCCAAAACTTCTCAATAATGAAATTTTTTTAAAATGTTAATCAATATTTAATTAGTATTATCTGTGAAAATCATCTGCGAATAGCTGCGAATCCGTTCAGAATCTGTTAAAGAAGACGAGTACCTCGTTCCTTTTTCATCAGTTTTTGATTTTCTAGAGTAACCATTTCTAATATATATTGAAAAATTTATTTTTTATTACTTTTATTTTACTATAAATTTATGTTAATCATCGTTTTTTGTTATCTTTTGTTAATTTTTTAACCAAAATTAAGTGTTTAACAAATATAATTTTTGTCAGTTACGCTTAAAAAAAAGTGTAGTATGCATTTGGGAGTCAAATTTTGAACATTTTATGGTAAACACGATGGTAGCGGATATATTTGGCTTTAATGGTGCTGATACTTAAAATATAACATTCATACGCTATTATATACCTACAAAAAAAATTTCAACTCGATATTCCTACTGGAAGTATTTTTGGCCGCCTTCTCCATACAAGACCGACCACTGTGCCCCGTTGTCATGGCATTTTCAACTTCCATGGTGCTTTACCATTTCGTTTTTTCCCCAGAACTTCTTAATTTTCTCGCATTTTTTCCCATAATGACCGAAGGAGTACATGGAAAACAGAGGCGAGTGCACCCAATGACATCTGGCCCAGACTTGACCGTTTTGTCGTGTAACAATTTTGCTGCTGCTTTTGGTGGCAAGTCGAGTCGAGACCAGATAATTGGGTTAGCTCCGAGACAGGACCCCTTTTAGTCCCGCCCTTCGGAGAGAAGGAAGCGAATGCGTTTTATGATCCTTTGATGTCCAAAGTTGGCCTTCTACTCCACCTTGCACTTCGTGCCATCAGCACGAATTTGGTTGCCCTCTTCACTCGGTGTTTTAACATATTTTTTTACAGATTCTCCTTGTTCTCGAAGCACTTAGGACTTGCAAGTGTTTTTTGTCGTCTTAAGTTGGCTATTTGAACCGAGCGTGCTAGTTGTGTTTGCGGTCTCGCATTTCTGTAAACAGTAAACAAGTCAAACCGAAAGTATACAGCCCAAGTTCCCGAATCTGGTCCAAAAAGTAAATAACTCCCGAGTAAATAAGTCAGTAGAAATCTACGGATAATTGTGTTGAACCGTCCAAACAGCCAGACAATTGTCGAAGTCAACAAATTATTAGAAAAGAGTGCTGCGTTCCTTCCTGTTGACATTGTCTCCTTCCCGAACCCTAAAAGCTGAAGCTAATCCGCATTATTTTTGTATTTGGGCCGCTGATATACGTCAAAGCCATTATCGGACATGCATCTCTGGAACGGTTCAATTTGAGTAAGATAAATTGCGTTTGCGCAAGAAATTTCTGTCCGAAGAATTCAAATCATTTCGCATTAGCGAAGTGAAACAGGATCTACACTCGTATTTTTGTATTGGCACTCGCAGCACGGACATCCGAATAGTGTTTTAAAATAACACTGAAACTTCTTTGTTCAAAAATGTTTTCTACTAAAACTAAACTTGTGATATTTATATGATACTAATTAACTTTTTTGTAAGAAGCTTAAAAGTTTATTTTAAATAAAAATCAGTTTTATAACAACTATAAATACAATTTACTTATTTTTAATAGTCTTATTTGTTTGTATTTCTTTGTCTTGTAGCTTAAATCGCTTTTTTTTAAATTGACATTTTTTAAAACCTATCTATTTTATTTATTTTATAACATTACTTGAATTGTATTGCATTTTTCTAAACTTTTGGCTAAGTGTACTCCCACACCCGGTTATTCATTCCTGAAATGGGTTTGCTTTAATGCGCGTAAATGCAAATCATTATCAACAACATTTGCATTGAGCAGCATCGCCGATGGAATGGCCCGGAAAGTGGGGACTACAGATACGCGACTGGGGAGCCACACCATTTGAGGGAAGGAGCGTTGGAGAGGAATCGCAAATGGGTGTACTATCGGCAACCGCACATTGTTTCCCCAACTGGCAGGCTATTAGGGCTGATGAATTTGCCGCGCAGCTTGCAGTTTTAAATATTTGCACATTTCGCAGTGCGAGTGCCCAGCAGCCAGTGCGATTTGGTAGGCCCAAAATCGGGCGACTCTAATGATAACCGCCCATTCAGCTAAAGCTCATTTCATTTGCGTTGCCAAGCTCCCAAAAACTCACACACACTGAGGGAAAACCCACGTTGTCCAACTTTTCAGGGGCCAACAAAGAATCTGGAAATTCTACCAAGGAGGAAATTCTTTCACCGAGTTATGTTCGCTATTTTCGGATCGGCTTTTGTCTCCCTTGCCGGTGCCACTGCCACTTTCAGTGGCATCAGCTATTGCCACTGCCTTCCGCAATCTCTTGCAGATTTTTTTCTTTTCAAACTATGGCACAAATGTTGAAGTGTACATTATTCTTAACTTTTTTTGAGTTCGATAAGCGAAGCCAGAAAATTATGATGATGGCGCTGATGCCGGGATGCTGATGATGCTCCTACGTAGCTGATGTGCTGCTGATGATGATGTTCGACTCGAGATAACCCGCCAACTTGAGGGGCAAACAACAAGTTTGTCTTCACAGCAAATTCGTTCGTCATGTCGAGGGGGAAAAACTTGCCGGGAGGATACAAAGGCCGAGGATGTAGACCCCAACAAG